ATGCGTTAAGATTTTCGTCGGTGTGGTAATCAGCCGTTTAGCTCAGTGGCTAGAGCGTCAGGTCGGGAATGCCGAAGACGTGGGTTCGATTCCCACAGCGGCGACAATCTTTTCGCACTTTTTCTACATATTTTAATATGCGAAAAGTTGTCAACAGACGGTTCACCTGATGTTAAGTAAATACCGCCGCCCATGGACATCTGCCTCACCCGAGGGTTACAGACGCGTTGACAATCTTTTGAAAATTGGGCTCCGGCCACCTCACTCACCAGATGAAACGCGAAAGTATTTGTCATACTTCCACTTTACGCTGGTCTTCTGTGAGGTCGTGGTACCTACCCGGACGGGCCTGCACATTCGTGCTACAGCCGAGGCTGCTGCGTGGCCCTACCACCGTAAAACAAAAAATTAGTTAATTACAAATTAGTGCGAGAGTGATTAACATGACAGCAAGTTCCTTAGAGTCAGAACTTTGCCTGTTGCCATCATGTATCATATATGTAAGTGCCTTAATATAAGAATGTTAACAGATAAAAAAATTAACTTGATTTCACTAAATCAGTTATCCTCCCGAATCTGGTATCTGGCTTGCTCCGCCCAAGACTAGATAGCGCCGCGTCGTGTGATAAGGTTTTATGCTAATGTGTGATCAAGGTCGCGGACTCTAGTACGTTCTAATGATTCTTTTTCCAATTTCAGTTACGCGTCTTTCTTCGGGGGTGGGCAAACGGTGTTTTTTTATGTTAGAAAGTGGCAAACGAGCTGGCGGCTCACCTGATGTTAAGTGATAACCGCCCCCCACGGACATTTGCAACACTGATTGCAAATATGTTGCCACCTTTTAATTATGTGGGCCCCAGCTATCTCACTCATCAGACGAAACGCAGAAGTGTAACACTTCCACTTAACGGCGGTCTTCTGTGAGGTCGTGGTACTAACCCGAACGGACCTGCCCATTCGTGAAACATCGAAGACTGTTGCGTGGTCCTACCACAGTGTGTTCTATTTATTCCATTTATCGTTTCATTTTGTAACACGAATCCGCAACTGGATAAATCCGAATTAACTTTGACTTGAGAAAAAGAAAAATTCAAGCACTTCCATTTCTTTATTATAAAAGTCTTCAACTATCTTGAAAAGTGGACCGTGAGAGTATCTACTTTTACTTTTCACAATTTGCATTGAAATTTTTTGAGTTGTATTTAATGTAAATTAGCCCTATATCCGTTTAATATGAGTGGATTATGATTTAGTTCAATAAAAGTAGTTAGTAGCCGTGATAGCTCAGTGTCCGGGCGCTCACCTTTAATTCGTTATACTCGAGCAACCTGAGTTCGATCCCCGGTGCCGGCACCAATGAAGTTATTGATTTTAAGTGCTTATTTTAATACTTATCACGTGCTCCGCGGAAAAGGACAACATCGTGAGGAAACCTGCATATTTTCGAAATAATAACAAAACAAAAATATCTCGAAGATATGTGAAGTCTGGCAACCCGCAGTGAGCCCGCGTTGTGGACTTTGCCCTGATACCTATAGAGGAGGACCTCTGTATAGAGGAGGCCTAGCTTGCTCAGCAGTGGTACATGTATAGGCTGTATACTTTTACAATAAAAGTAGACGTGTTTTAAAGTTTGCCCTTATTTCACTTTAACTTTGTCTTGACTGATATTCGTTAACTTACCAACTAATTAAAAACCGACTTGCGAAATTTGCTTAAAGTTAATTAGTCAAAAAAGTTATTTAGTTTCTGCAGACACCGATTGCGTAACACCTTAGTGAATTTAAAAATAAAAAAATTATTTAACAAAATTTCTTACTAATTCGAATTCCTATTGACAAGTAACAGGCATATGGGCAGGGCGGAATGCATCGGGGCAACAAAGAAGTGGAGGCTCCTTGGCCCCAAATTATTTTTAAAATAAAATGATCAATTTTTTTCAGTCGAGTTTTCCAATAAATAATTTATTGTGAATCCAAGTACAGATTCTTTTATAATTTTTTCCCCAAGCCTATCGTGAGAGCTCTCTTTTGTGGAGGCCTCGGGGCTGTAGCCTAAGAGTACATTATTAATATAGAGTCATCAGTCTCCTCGTGAGACAGCGCCATCTTTTGATGCGGGACCGAACTACAAGTTCAGATGTATATATTTTCTCCAGGCTCTTTCAATCGGAGTTCTTATATTGTATTTTTAATGAATTTATGTCAAACTGCTTATTTAAAAAAAAAAAGCCCGTTGAATTTCTTTCGCCGGTTCTTCTCAGTACAGTGGCTTTCTTTTCCGAACCGGTGGTAGTGTTTTGACTATCAATAAGTGAGGGTAATGCTCCTATGTTGAATAAAGACATTTGATTTTGATTTTGATTTTATAACCTATACTAATTAACCATTTTGTTTTTACAGTTGAGAGCTGTATTCAACTACAGTTTTCTATATAGTGTATATGAAATTTATTTAATTTACATTTGATAGCATTGTATAGAAAACTGTAATTGGATACAAGGTTGCTAGATGTTGTTTTTGGATAAAGTAAATAAAATACAGAAATATGTTTTGCGAACTTTATTTAGTTTTTTATAATATTCACTCGCTATTTTTTTTATAATCTTTGTTATGAATGATTTCGAGTCTGATGCCGTTTCGTAAATTATTTACGTTAATTTATTTTTCGCTATCCAAAATCAATAAATTTCCTCCAATTAATTGAATCCATGTTTTAAATCTGTCACTATCATTTTCAGGTGAGGAAAAGAATGCAAATTTGCGTTACAGTCTTTACTCGTAAATACAATATTAATGTTTTGCCGTAACGTATAACAAAATAAAATGATGAATAATGAAAGATAACCGAATAATAACCGGCCGCAGTTCAGTGTTACCAACTGTTGAAAAAGAAATCAAAAACCTCCTAAAATCCACTGTGTTAAAAATAAAACTTCCTAAATTAAAAAGTTACCTTTTCTAAAAAATTATCTAACAAGCTAGAATAATTATCAGAAAATTTAATTATATGTGTAATCAAAACTTATTATTATTATTATTTAAAAATTAACTTAATTAATATACTTGACCTTGAACATTGTTCTTTGAATTGAAAAATATTTATACAAATTAAATAAATTTTATTGTCAATTTATAATCATATTTATTATTTTTAATAATCAGACAATAAATAATGAAACATACCATCCTTTAAATTCACTGTCTTCTGTATTTCCCATTTAGCTGCATATTTTTGAACATATCCGATGGCAATTTTCTCACCATTTGGCATTTTATATTATTTATTAAATGAATTTAATATATTATGAGTAGCCGTATATTAACAATAAGAGTTTATGGCGGAACAATTTAAAATAGTATATAGGCCAATGCTGCCACTACTATAACATTATATTTTGTAATATAATGTTATAGTATTGGCTATATAATAAAATGTAAATAAAATTTTATTCATGAAAAGATTCCCAAAAAATTTCTCCTAAAAAATTTCTATTATAATTTTTTCTTCCTAAATTTAGGAAGAAAACTCCTAAGTTGGTTACGTCGGAAACGTTCCGTTACACTGTTTAAAATTACTTCCAGCATTTTGCTTAAGTTGTTTTCTTTCAAATTAATAATTTTTGTTTAATAAAATACAATTTTCTCCAAAATAAGAACCATACATAATTTTTTTTATAAATTTATTTTAACTTAAAATAAATAAATTGGTTTTTATTTAATGGTACCATGGTTAAAATGGTTTTGCATTTAAAACAACGCCATCTGTTTTTGACGGACGGAACTAAACGGAATGAGTAGGCTCCATACAAATATCAAATGTATGGACTGAACAGACCGTGGCTGTAGCTCCGGTTGCCCTCCCCTAAATCCGGCCCTGCAAATGGGAAATTATTAGTGTACAAGTTTTTTTTACAGATAAACGACCGACCACAAAAGGTTGGCATGAAAAGTAACTACTACAAATACTACAATTACCATGCTACTATTTAGTTGGTCCAAAGGAAACAAAGATGGCGCTTATATAGTTTTTATATATATTTTTTAATCAAACAAAATATAATATTAACATGTACCTATATAATTTTATAAGTAAACCATCAAAGCGTCGTGTGTAATTATTGATATAAAGCAAATGTAAAATAACATATTAACAAGATTAGTGCACTATTATAGATGGCGTTAAAATTAAAATTACAAACAATGTGACGTGTTTTGGTCGGTAGGTACAGATTTTATTGTTTTCATATGTAAATATTGTTTTGTATTACCATATATAGACTTGCACTTTCATCATCATTTTTTGTATTAAACTTATTGATTTCATTGATTGCGTTTAGAAATAAAGATGCATAAATTTCATAATTCGTTATTTCTTATTTTAATACGATCTAATCATGACAATGTGTGTACCTATGTGTAACTAATTCATTTGGATAAAGGTTGCACTTACAAATATATAAAACCTTTGCGATTGACATCACTTAATACTATGTCCTTACTTTCAAACAAGTTGGCGGCTTCCTTTCAATAACCTACGATTTGTAAGCTTCATAAAAACAGTGCGGCACAATTTGACATGTTTCATTGACATCCTTGTCGCTTAATTTTGGCAAAAATCAGATTATTTTCCGCAAGTTCTTCCATTCAAAGATTCCATAAGATTTTTCCTGCTTGTATAAATTGAATACGTGAAAATGTGGGCTGGGGTGCGAAGGACAAGAGAATATAAATTTATCGTGGTAAATACAAACAAGTGATCAATAATGATAGTGACGACATTGTTGTAAGACGATAAGAACTAGCAGTTAAGATAATGAAAGTAGTGCTGCCTGCAATTTTTACGGACGGTGCCATTTGTTATATTAAAGTTTTTATTCAAATATTCAAAAATGGTTGGTAATTTGAAGGGTGTATGAAGTTTAGTTTTCTTAGTGTGAAAGACTATTCAACAAAATAAATTTTAAAGATATGAATGCAATTAGTAATTTTGTTTTATAGATAGAGGAGGTTATGCAGCAGAAGGCGCCGGGGGTGCCTGATAAAGTCCAGTAAGTTTTGTGTATACACTTAAGGTTAAGGTTATTTGAAACATGTATATTAGAATATATTTATATAGTTTTAAGAATATTTTAATTAGAAATATTTTGATAAAACGACACCTAGTGAATGATGATGGAATAATTGTATAGTTTGCGTGGAAACTAGCTGAGGTCCGGGGCGCTTCGCTTCAGCTAGAAAAATCTTACGTGTAACCAATATCAATTCGATCTATGGTTCAAAAGATAAATATCACTGCTACCAGTGCCACCTATCCGGCATTAACGTAACTATGTTCGGCGTGGTCATGTCGTCCTTGCTGCAGCAACCTCGTACTGGCCATCGCAGTGTGGGACGACCCCCCACTAGAGGGAGTGACGACCTGTGCAAATGTGCGTGAAGTCGATGGATGCAGGTGGCTCGGGATCGTGCTTCGTGGTAATCTGTGGCGGAGGCCTATGTTCAGCAATGGACTCAAACAGGCTGAAATGATGATGATGTCGTCCTTTATATTATGTACTAAGTTTCATATCAATTGGGCTAACGGTTCTCGAGATTTAGATGAACATATATACTCATACATTCAGTTCTATATACATGTATAATAGAAATATTAGAATAAATACAATAATTTCAACATCAGTGCGTATAGGGGATATAGCTCAGTGGTAGAGCATTCGACTGCAGATCGAGAGGTCCCCGGTTCAAACCCGGGTGTCCCCTGAGTGTTATCCTTTTTTTATATTTGATAAATTGTGTGTTTTAGTAAAGGTTTCCTTGTTTTTAGACAAATTCACGCCGGCTCCAACGCACAAGGAGTACGAAAACGTTTATCGGCAAACTTTTTCAAGGCTACTTTTAGTTCGCGCAGCAAAGCGGTATCAACCGCAGTTTCTTCCCGATCAGTCGAAGACACTACAAAAATAGGCAGCGCGGAGACTAAGCCCGTAACAAGAACTAGGCCTAGATCAGGTAATTTAATACAAATTTCCTATTAAAGGTATTTCTTTTAATTTTGTTTTGTTTTTTAAACTCGTGCATCACACATTTGAACACTATCCACCATTTTAGAATATGTAAAATGATATAGTTTTTTACAATAAACCTCAAACCTGTTATTTTTATGAATTAAATAAACTACAAAATTAAGTAAAAAATCATACTATTGGAAGTTCAAAACTATAAGTTCAAACATATCACCAATTCGTAATTTTTAACGTGCATAGTTGACAATCGAGCAGGCGGTTTACCTGATGCTATAATTATTTAAGTGATTAACCGCAGCCCCTGACGGGTTACTAACGCGGTGCTAACTATTAGAATATTGGGCCCCGATGACTTCACTCACCAGACGAAATAAAGGTTTTATACATCTTCTTTCTTTCCCCTTCCCTTATCCTAGATGGGGTCGGCATAACATGTGAATCATGTTTTTATTGACATTTTGGTTAGGTTTTTTACCACCGGCCGCTTGCTTGATATCAACCCTACTTTGGGACAAACACCAAGATTCGGAACAATTATCTGGAGGGGGTCACGGAAATAATTGTCCCGTGTGGAAATCGAACACACGCACGATCCCCAGCGCAGGAGCCTATGGCTTAGCAACTGCGCAACTGAGTAAATCACTGAAAACATTCCGTTATATAAGCAATATTTTTTTCTTACATCTACATAATTTATGGTAGAATATTGTTCTCTTTTATGCAGTGTCACAATTAGAAGACGCAAAATCAAAAGCGAAAAGGGGTGTTGAGCGTTCCAAGCCCGTCAATCGGTCGGACAGACCTCTGTACCCCGAACGGCCTTTAAGGGCAAAACAACAAGCAGCGGCCACTACTGATCAAAAATCTGTTTACGAACATAAACCCCAATATGACTTGAAAAGTCCAAACGTCGTTTTTCAAATCGTCAAAAAGTCTGTCACACCGAAGCAAGACCCGAAAACGCCGGACAGCATTTTGCCGCCGTCTTTAAAACCAAAGATTCCCGATAAAACGAAACTTAAATTGACCAAATTGATCAATAACAACCATGTCTGGAGTAACGCAAATATAGAAAAAGATAAGAAAGCTCCACAAATACCTTCAAGGTAAGTACATCGTTAAGAATAGTTGTAGCATGTTTTGTTCTTCGAAATACAAGTACTAATATTCAAATTATCGCCGTAAAATAACGGCTTTTTAACAACAAATTTGACCGCCATTAAGGTATTAAATAAGAAGAATCTTTATACTTATTGTAATACGAGTATATTCATGACTACTAGCATAGTAAATAAACAATACAATTCAATACATTACATGACATCAGTAAGTCAGTAAGAGTAACTAATGCACGTGACGATGATAACCTTTTTACCAATATATACCCATCTTGCTTTACGACACGTGCTCATCATTGCACATAAAGGCGTTAAACAGAGAGGTATAATGTGTCTCGCTTCATTCTTACGGAATGCATTCTACGTAATACGATACTGCTAAATTTGAATGACAGCTTAAATCGTAGCACGGCACTGTAGGATGAATATTTTGAAACCGGGCGGATTATAGAATGAATACAACGTGCCGGCGCGGTGGGCCGGTAGGATTTTACAAGTTTATAACGTAAAGCGAGTTTGCTTGCTACGGTTGGTCGCGGTAGTGTCGTTGGTGACCGGTGTAATTTTTAAATTGCAATAATTTAAATCATTAAAGTTACGAATATTACGGTCATTTTAGGATCGTGTGGTGCTTGTAGTTTTATGTGATGCAAATACGTACAGTGATTCGATTTTATTTATTGGAAGTGTCACTCGTGAGCGTTTGCATTGGTGCTTGTGTCCAGATGTTGAGTGTAACAAGTAGTAACACCATTTAACTTGGTGCAATGTCCCTTCTTCACTGTGCTGTCTTTTTTATTTGCCACTTAACAGGTGTACTCCTTCAAATCATTTTATGAATATACCATGATAATTCAAATTTAAAATTTAATTAAAAAATTATAACTTATTTCGCCTTCGATTAAGAGCTTAATTAAATATTATATTGAAGTAATTACTTTCACATAATATTAATTAATTTTCTTTATTTATGAAACCGCTTGCGGTTTCATAAAAACTTGATGGTTTTCTGAAGTTAGCCTGAGAGTATCAGAATTAAGTCTGAGTAATGGCTAATCTGTAATACATAATATAGACAAAAATAATTATAAACTTTCATAAACATTTAACATTTAAGTTTCATAATAATATTCATAAGAGCGTGAGCGAGCAAACGATAGAGTTTGTTTCTCATAAATAATTATACGGTTCCATTTACAAATCAAGTCACAAACCTCTCAAGTCGAGTTAATTCAAAAATTAAGTGCGCGTAACCCTCAGGTATTTACTATCTTTTGGCACTTAACCTGTAAGGTTTTATTTCGACCTGGGGCCTGCAACAAAAACGTTCTAATAAAAAGATACGTCGATAAGATTTTGTCTCACATTCGACATTTTACATTTTGATATTTTATATTTTGGTTTCCGTTAGTGCAGTGGTCAAGATTTCTGCACTGCATGAATCGTGGGTCAATCGCTAAAAGTTTAAACACGCATTTTGTGGTCTGTTCTGTAGGTAATTGATGTGGAAGTATCCCTGTTTGTAATTAAGGATTGTGAAACTGGTTCCAGAAGAAAACTTTATAATTATTCGAGTTTAGGTTCCGCGACTACAAATTTTTTTCTTATAAAGACGACAGTGACATGATTACGTTTTTTAATATCGTTATCAACGAGTTTATTTGTTTGTTAGTGTTAATGGATAATGGATAGCACTATGTTTGTGCGTAGACTGCCGCTACACGCAAACGCAGATTTTGTCGGTGCAAAAAATATTGCGTTAATTCGACATGGTCATTGGACAATGAGATATCTGCGTGTAAAGAGACAATGCCTCCTCTTAAGACCAGTATAAGGTCATGGAAAAGTATTACTATGTATAATTGAAATTCTGTGTGTTTCGAAGGCAGTGGATTTTGAATCCTAACTGGACTAACATTTAACAGATTTGGAATTTAATCATTTCAATCGCTTTGCGCTATGCGGAGGATGCCTTTAAATTTAATACCAAATCTCTTATTACTTGAGGTAAGGGTAATAAGGTGGAAGACGTTACCTATGAAATATTTTTATATCATGACAGTAGGAACAGTAAGAAATCTCTTAATTCATTTTATATTTACTGAATACACTGAAGATATCAGGTTCTTCGGCCGCTCCAATCTCGTGGTGGTCCAATGAAGTATACAGGTCGAAAACAAATCGCGCGTGGTCTAATTGTGATAATTAAATTATCGCCTTCGGTAAGTTCTATTATTGTTTTATTGAATACTTAAATAGGACCCCTTCAAAGCGCGAAACGTTGCTTCATTTAATTGTTTCGTAACTTATTCGCAATAAGAAACTCACGAGTGTCGTTTAGAGCTGGACATCGCCATCGTCTGCAAATGTGCTCACTCTATGTAACCCGAAACGTTACGGTTACGGATTGCGGTTAAGTTTACATGAGTTACTTAAATTCACCGATATTATTAACATAGTTCCGACTACGTGCGTCTATTTATCGGTTTCAGAATATAGTAGCTAGTGAAATTATTTAAAAAATATTCGTGTCAGGTATACAGTGTGGTCTGCTTTCAACGAAGATTCTTATGTTTCTCACACTTCAATATGAAAGCCCTTGAAAATTGTGCTGTGAGTTTATGTCAATAATGGTCTCCACTCAGCAAAAATACGGAGAGTTCCGCAATGCTGGTATTCTGTGGAGCCATTTCGATGCGAGGAATGTGAGGAATGTGCGGGTAGATGCGCAAACTTGTGAACATGTTACCAGAATAAAATAAAAACATAATACTAAAATAAAAAAATAAAATAAATAATAATAAAAATAGTGCAACACTGTTAGAATTTCTGGCAAATATTGACCAACAAAAAATAAAACAATTCTAGTATTTTTTACTTTTATTGCATTTATTAGCAATAATATTGATTAAAAAAGCAAAAGGCAAACAAACAAAAGGAAATTATATACACATAAATCCAACTATATTAGTGGCACGGGGGCTAATAGGGACGCATTAAACATTTTGCATTATGTATGTGGGTAATACTCGTCTAGAAGCTGGTAAGCATTTTTGGAAAGACAACAAGATGTTTCCTTTTGAATATTGTTCCAGCATTTAGACGCCTCGTACTTAAAACTTCCTCAGAAGGAAGCTGAGCGGTGTTTGGGATCCTAAGTATCATCTTTAAATCTAATATTAAATGTAATATAATATTAAATATAATAATGATATTAAATCTAAAAATAATTTAATATTTAACGGATTTAATCCGTACGAATATTATTTCTCATGTATAATATACATAAGAAATGATTTCTACTGTGTCATTCTCATTCGATTGATTATCTACTTAAAATTTTACGTTGAGATATTAGGAAACGGAAGAATGATCCCATTGTAATAGAATCAAACTTCGATTTGTTTGCATGTGGAGGTGGTTTTCATTATAAAAGATTTTCAGTCGTATTTATTTTAACGGTACCATCCTTGGAGTTTGTTTTTATTAGTTTCTTGTTTACTGAACTTAACACATTTAAGTTTTGTGTTATTTAAGTTAAGGCCAAGTAGACGGTAGGTGTTTTGCTTTCGCACATTTCACGTAAAGGATTACCCCAAGAAATAGAGATGGGTCCTGGGATCCTGGGGATGCTTGTCAATGTGTACATTTGAATTCGTTAAGTACAGCTTATCTTCAATAGTCTGTTGCGCAAGTGGTACAACGAGCGCGCTGGTAGAGAGCGTGGACACCGATTGGAATTTAGATTCGGATACGTAATATGGTCATTATACATACAAATGACCATATTACGTATACACTATACAATTTTGTATACAATTTTGAAATACCAAAATGCGATAGCTTTTAGAGTTGTGAGAACGAGAAGAAAGCCTAGCTGTTCGTTACAATCTCCCCCGGCGCTCTGTAACAAATATTTTTTGGATTCCTCCTCATAAAAGTAAAGCAAATTGGGTTTGCATGCTCCGGTTACGCATTTCTGCAATTCCTACAATGCTATCTGTGGAGAAATACTCACTATAGATTTATTCCATTCAATTTTTAATAAAATCAAGAAAATAATGTTGAGTCCCGTTCGTTATTGTTTTTAGTTGTCAATCATATAATTCGTTTTAAATTTAGATTATTGTATTCATTTTGTATAAATTGTATATTTTTTAATTTTACTGAAGTTATTCGCCGTTAAATATTTTTGTATCTCTTATTGTATTTACTCTTTGCTCATTCTTGTTTGTACCTATATCAGAATTTTTAAGTATTATTTTTTATTAGAATGTATGTACTGCTAGTATACTTTACTATAACTAAATAAATAAACTAGAAGGAATTCCTAGCTAAGGCGATTCAACAGAAAACCAAACATGTACAGATATAGATAGAGTACATGGTATAATTTGTTGGCTCTTCTTTATGTGCTACTTTCGACAATACTTGAATTCCTTGCTAGAGGGCAGTGGAAGAAGATGTTTTAGAGTCACGGACATAATCTGTTTCACCACCATTATATTATATTTCTTTATGACTAGTTGCGCTTTTGTTCTGTGTCCTATGTTTAAAACACAGATGTTTTTCCTGTTTTTCCTTCGGTTGTTTCTATGTAGGCAAATTTTTTTACAAAAATTCATTAAGACTATTAGGAATTGCGATGTAATGAGAAATGTTTAAATTAGTTTATAGTGCACTCTGCACTTAAGATGAAATATTAAAATTTACGGAAAATGTGGACAAAAAATGTTTCGCCGCTGCGGGAATCAATCCCATGTGTTCCAGAGGAACATTCGCATAAATGTGCCAGGACTTAATTTTTCCTCTTATTAGTGTTATGTCACCACTTGCTCTCAGATTATTCCTAGAAAACTCCTGTGTCCCTACATATTTCTATTCTATATGATCCATGAAAGCGAATATGTTCGCCATAATAGGATTTGGCTTGTCTTATTTGGTACCTAATGCAAATAGTATAAGTTCACTAGTAACTTAATCTCAGAA